TCTTTACTAATTGGAATTTTCTCTTACAGCTTGAGCCTAAGTGTGTCGCAGGATACCCTCTAGGTGACAGTTCTTGATTACTTTTTGATAAATAAGTCGTCCTTATTGCGAAATAGGAGCACTATTTATCAATCTGTAATAAAAGACGTGAGGAAATTCTGTCTTTTTTATAGACAAAAATTTTTGAGGCGAAATACCCAAAAAGAAGTTGGTAAAAAATGAATCCGCCTCAACAATATAGAACTTATCTTTTATGCTTGTAAAGTTAAAAATCACAATTAAAGTCATCCACCAAGACGCAAATAATCCTGAGGAATCTGGACTTCAACTTGACTTAGTGGGCTTTGTTTTTCGATGGAATCTCCGTTGAAAAGGAAAAGTTTGGAACAATGCCCCTGAAAAATGGCGTTCTTTCCTAATTAAAAACTCACAAAGACCTTCAATTTGTCGAGTTTTAAAGCGACTTGTCAACGTGAAAAATTAGAAAAACACATTTTTACAGCCTGCTGTCTGGGGATGAAACTGCGAGTTTTTAGGCAAGGTTTCTCAAAGAAAGAACTGTGACCTTTTTCTGCCAAACTTACCTATTTGAGGCGTGGCAGCAGCAACGAAATAATCCCTGAGAAGCGGATTGTTTCGCAAAAAGTACCTCACTTCCCGATAGGGATAGTTTGGATCTCGCTCCACCATATCGAGCACTGGCCCTTCAGCATCACCTTCCAGGCTGCTCAAAGACCCTTTAGTGGCGTTCTGGCGCCTGAAAGGCTCGTCATGCTGATGATTATGACCTTTAAATAATTAGAACTTCAAAATTCATATGTGGAGTCCTTTGGGCACGATTCAGTGTTTCAGTGTACTGGAAAATTACCGTGGACGCTTCCATAGTGTTCAAATTGATTGAAGGACGCTCCGTTTGAGTGGCTGGCCATGTACTGAAACAAACAAACTTGTCCGTTAAGTAATCGCCGGCAAAATGCGATTTTTTTGTTTATAATTAACGATTGCTCATAATTAACTGTTGCTTATCGTTGCATCGGGCTATCGTCCTTTTGATTCAGCTGGTTGGTTTATGCAACACACTGAGTAGGTATATAATTTTTTGATCAAAACTTGGACTTTTGGGTCTCCAGACCAGACTGGAATAAACCTTTCAAACAATAGCCAATCAGCTTTGTGCAACAGGCATAAAGCCTGCGAGCAATTGAATGCATAATTTAATGTGCAACGATGAATTTTTGCTGGTTTCTCCAGGAAAAAAATTCTGTCAGTTATGAGCAAATCGAGCAAATATGAAAACTTACCGCTAAAATCAACAGCAAAACTAACCAGCACCTCATTTTTGCCAATTGCTCCAATCACTTGGAGACGCATTGAAACAATGGATCCAATCGCGTCTAGTAAAAACTGCCGAAGGTTTTTTTGGCTGATCGGGACCTCCAAAGTGTTCCTCTACTGTTTCTCACTGCGATTAGCCAGTACTGCAGGAAGCGGCTGAAGATGGTCGCAATTGAACCAGAGTGGGATTTGAAGCGATTTATTTATAATCTATTCATATTTTTAGACGTGATGTTGTTTATTGTTTTGTTTAGCGAATGAATGAGGGCTTTGTACCACATCACTCCTTAAGACCGGGTTTAGTGCGGCGATAAGCTTTCAGTAGTGGATTTGCAAGAACGTTTTTCTTAGTTGGATGAATCAAAGTGTAGCTTTTCTGTATTTTCATAGCGGTTTAAACCTTCATAGAGCCTTAACTGAATCATCCACATGATTGACCAGTTTTCCCCAACTAAAGCTATAATGCGCAACTAAATTTGAATCGAATCACACTGAATGCAAATTTCCAACTAGGTACTTTATGCGAACTAATTTGGCAAATTTCATTTGATTGCAGTTTGCAGATTTCGCATTGAATCTTAACTTCTGTACTGTTGTATCCGCAAGTTGGCTGCTGTTAACTAAAAAGCATTGTTTCCGATTGTTTGGCAAATTCGCGCTTTGCTTGTTTTCGCGACAAACTTCTCTTAAGGTTTAATCCCGATTTTAAGTGATGCTGTAAACAGAAAGTTTCCTCGTTATGCCTAATTCCAATGTGGATTAATCGCGGATTTTCGAACGCCAGACAGCGCTAAGAAAGCTTTAGTTTTCAAGTGGAAAGTTTGCCCAAAGATTAATAAGTAGAAAAAATGCAAACCAGTGAAGTTCAGTTCGATAAAGCAAAAAAACTGTTCAGGTTTTTTACGCTTCTACGCTGTTATGGAAAATAATTTGCAGCTAAGACTGAAAAACTTACCAGTTTCTTTTCGTTAAAAGTTGAACTGATTTTTACAGGAAATTAGGTATTTTCAACTGTTTGAAGTTGTGATTGTTTAAAAACTTCCCATCCTGCACATTCTATCGTTTTTGCCGGCCAACAAACGCTCTTGTTTCCAATGGATTTGTTGCGAAAAACTGATCAATCGACAAGGTGAAAGTGTTTTTGCGTTCAAACCCCTCGGCACAACGTCGATATTAAACTCTCTAATACGTTTTGGAAGCTCAAAGACACAGGAAACAACCCCTGAAGATGTAAGCCACTCGTGCTGGCGAAACGTGAATACAAAATAGTTGTTGTTTTGTCGGTGATGATTTTTCAGTTACTAAGGCGAGTCGACTGACCGCTGGTAAACACGGGTTTTTCAAAAATTCCTCAAGAAAACAGCCAAAATTTCTAAATGCGGTCTAGAACATCACTGGAAAGAGAAAATATGCGGCTTTAAATGAGGAAAACTTCAGTTAAATAGGAAATTTATGGACGTTTTCAAGATTTTTCAGATACTCAATCGAAACGATCGGTCCTTGGACAACACGGATTTTTCAAAAATTTGCCAAGGAGAAACTGAAAACATCTGAATGCGGTCTATAACATCACTGGAAAGGGAAAATCTGCTGCCTTAAATGARGAAAACTTCAGTTGAATAGGAAATTGATGGACGTTTTCAAGATTTTTCAGATACTAAATCGAAACGATCGCTCGTTGGACCACACGGATTTTTCAAAAATTTGCCAAGGAGAAACCAAAAATATCTGAATGCGGTCTATAACATTACTGGAAAGAGAAAATCTGCGCTTTAAATGAGGAAAACTTCAGGTCAATAGGAAATTTATGGACATTTTCAGATACTAAATCGAAACGATCGGTCGTTGGACAACACGGATTTTTCAAAAATTTGCCTTGGAAAAACTAAAAATATCTGAATGGAGTTTATAACATCACTGGAAAGAGAAAATCTGCGGCTTTAAATGAGGAAAACTTCAGTTCAATAGAAAATTTATGGACATTTTCAGGATTTTTTTAGATACTAAATCGAAACGATCGGTCGTTGGTCAACACGGATTTTTCAAAAATTTGCCAAGGAGAAACCAAAAATATCTGAATGCGGTCTATAACATCACTGGAAAGAGAAAATCTGCGGCTTTAATGAAGAAAACTTCAGTTCAATAGGAAATTTATGGACACTTTCAGGATTTTTTCAGATACTAAATCGAAACGATCGGTCGTTGGTAAATACGGATTTTTCAAAAATTTGCCAAGGAGAAACCAAAAATATTTGAATGCGGTCTATAACATGACTGGAAAGAGAAAATCTGCGGCTTTAAATGAGGAAAACTTCAGTTGAATAGGAAATTTATGGACATTTTCAGGATTTTTTCAGATACTAAATCGAAACGATCGGTCGTTGGACAACACGGATTTTTCAAAAATTTGCCAAGGAGAAACCAAAAATATCTGAATGTGGTCTATAACATGACTGGAAAGASAAAATCTGCGGCTTTAAATGAGGAAAACTTTAGTTCAATAGGAAATTTATGGACATTTTCAGGATTTTTTCAGATACTAAATCGAAACGATCGATCGTTGGACAACACAACTTTTTCAAAAATTTGCCAAGGAGAAACCAAAAACATCTGAATACGCTTTATAACATCACTGGAAAGGGAAAATCTGTGGCTTTAAATGAGGAAAACTTTAGTTCAATAGGAAATTTATGGACATTTTCAGATACTAAATCGATACGATCGGTCGTTGGAGAACACGGATTTTTCAAAAATTTGTCAAGGAGAAACCAAAAACATCTGAACGGGGTCTATAACATCACTGGAAAGAGAAAATATGCGGCTTTAAATGAGGAAAACTTCAGTTCAATAGGAAATTTATGGACATTTTCAGGATTTTTTCAGATACTAAATCGAAACGATCGGTCGTTGGACAACACGGATTTTTCAAAAATTTGCCAAGGAGAAACTAAAAATATCTGAATACGGTCTATAACATCATTGAAAAGACAAAATCTGCGGCTTTAAATGAGGAAAACTTTAGTTCAATAGGAAATTTATGGACATTTTCAGGATTTTTTCAGATACTAAATCGAAACGATCGGTCGTTGGACAACACGGATTTTTCAAAAATTTGCCAAGGAAAAACCAAAAATATCTGAATGTGACTCTTAACATCACTCGAAAAAGAAAATCGGCTGCTTCAAGTGAGGAAAAACTCACTAGATTAGAAAATTTCTGAGAGTTTCCAGGATGTTTTCAGTTACTAAGGGAAAACGATTGGCCGTTGTATAAATGAACGAGTTTAAAAAGAGTATTATCAAGGAAAAATCAAAAATAGTTCAAGCCTGCCCAGAACATCACTTGAAAGAGAAAATCGGCTGCTTTAAGTGAGGAAAAACGTGCTTATTTAGGAAATTTTCCGCATTTTCCAGGATGTTCTCAGTTACTAAAGGGAAGCGAATGCCCTTGGTATAGATAGATGGATAAAAACAATTGTTTGGAAAAGCCAAAAATCTCCCCACTAGAAAAATACCTCTCCAAAGACGAAATCTGCGGCTTTAAATGAGGAAAACCTCACTTTAACGGTGAGCGTTTTCAGGATTTTTTCAGACACCAAACCGAAACTGTGCGCGAAAACTGAACGATTCTCACCTCAGTTTCCTATGTAGAAATGGCTCGAAACGCCTTAAAAAACTGGTCAACAACAAGGTTTATTTTTATTTAATTTTTCAATACCATTTTCCTCATCAAGCCCCAACAGCACAAACGGAAACTTTCCAACACAAGCAAGGAGAAAACGAAAAACTCTTGAGCCCTTAGCGATTTATTCAGGCTTAAAATACCGCTCATTATTTCCCCACTTGTTCCACTTGAGCCCTTTACACGTGCAAAAGGATTCGATCCAGAACCAGTCCGTTGAAGTGCCACCATCCTGGATGTTGCTGTTCTGGATCAGCAACTTTACCGGTCTGTATTCCTGAACGCATGCAGGAGTAAAGCCGAAGATTGCCAGTTTGTTTCCGCATTTTCTTCCCCGGCCACTGAAAAAAGTAACACGATTTGCCAAAAATTTGCACTCCCCTTTCAAGCCCTTGATACCTTTGGCACGATTCCCTGTAAATCACCTGAAGAAACCCCACGTGGTTTACAATCGCGCGCTCCAAGCCTGCCATGTTCTTCAACTTCTTCGGAGTGTATTCTGCGTCTATTACAACTTTGCATTGTTCTTCGGCCTCGCTAGTGGAAACTTTCTTCAATCGCCCGTCTGGAAGCAGCAAAAGCCATCAAGGAAAGTGGAAATTTGGTGATGTAAAACTTACCAACTTGCGGGTGACTGGGATAGTTGGACTCATCCTCACTACTCCCTTGGAACTCTTGGGCGTTTGTGGGAGTCGAATAGTCCAAGTCTGCAAATTTCCGATTGTAGTGAGTTTTAGGAGCTAAAAAAGTCGTCCACAGTTTTGCTTACGCGTCTTCTTGAAGGGATTGGGGAAGTTTATTTGTAAATTGAGCTCGATGGTGTGAGTTTGACATTGGGTAATGAGCTGAAAAAAACAGAGTTTGCGGTTCTTAGGAAGTTTCTTAGTAAGTAAGTTTAAGTTTCTTAGTAGGCGGTTCTTAGGAAGGATGTTTGACTGAAACCTTACCAGTGCTGGGCAGACGAGGACAATAAATATACAACTTGGCTCCATTTTGAGCCGTACAAAAATCCACTATTCGGCGTGAATCACTAGTGCGTTGCCCGCTATGGCTGAAAATTGCGGCTTTGCAGATCATGTGAGAAGAGGAGGATTCACGTTGTCTTTATATACCAGGAACCACTCGATGCTAATTGCGCGTCCAGGAAACCAAATTTTGCCCACTTCCGACTATTAATATTCTCGGCGTTGAGCGCTGAATGGCTCCATTGTGAGATTTACACTTTGCCCATTTTATCAACGAACATGCAACCAAAGAGTAACTTTGATTAAAATGGTAGTAATTTTTCATATCTCTATACCGCAGGGAAGGAGGTTGCGAGGAGTTTTTTCAGAGAATTTTTCATGCACATCATCAAGGTCGGGTTTTCGGTCCATTTCGGGCATTCAAATCGTGGGTTTTCACAGACCTCAGAAAAAAGCCGATTTTCTCTAATCGGCTGTGACCAGAAAGGTAAATAACCGCACTCAGGGACTAAATCGCTTCTTCATCTGGACACTTTGCCGCTTAACCAGAACGATTAGAAAGAGTCACGGTGGTTTCAATTATTGAAGCACACGTGCAAAGGCTTCTTCGGTTCTTCGGGTAAATGCGAGTAAAAATTGAGAACTAATTTTGCTGCTGTTCAGGAATAACGCATTTAATAAACGTGAAATGCTCAGCGGTTGATTCACTGATTCTAGCGAGCGTAATAGACAAATTGCCGATAAACGTAAAGCGTGTGGTTTTCGCAATTTTCGACTTATATGGAGTTGTGCTTGCAATTCAATGCATTTTTTTGCAATGACTTAATGTAGTTTCCTGCTGGGGCAAATTCTACTTTCAGAAGCTTTGTGACCCGAGCTAAGCTAAGCTGGCTTTTCCATCAGGATTAAGAATTTATCATTCCCATCCTTGATTTTCCCATGTCCTTGATGACGCGCACTGTGACAAATGTATTCTTCAAGCACCCAAAGATGCAGGGAATTCCTGCCGCTTTCTCAATCATCTGCTAGACTAAGAATGTTAAATGATTCCCGCGTTTACTGATTTTTCCGGTCATTTTCATTGAGCTAATGCAGGGAAATCGCACGTTTGAATAATGTTGAAGAAACTGGTGGGTTTTTGGTGATCTTTTTTCAGAGTTTCTTGGGCCTTAAACGTTGGGAACCAAGACTTTTTCCCTAAATGACGACCTAAGAGCTAAGAGAGAGGAAATTTGGATTCCTCGATCTTCAAAACTACTGGAAAAAAACTGGTCAAGAATCTTTAAAAATACAGGAACCAATTTACGAGCTCAGAATTAGACACGCCAGAATGTTCTGATCCAAACTAGCCGAACACGAATTTCAGCAGTTTTGCGTCCTTTTTGTCAAGGCGCCTCAGAAGCTCAGTCTCCGTCTTTGGAAGTCTAGATTGTTGCAAAAATGTCCAACCTTTAAACAGCTGGAAGCAAAAATGCGAAATTTAGGCCGCGCCGAACTTTAAGAGCGTGAAACTTTGAAACGGCTGAAAATATCCAAGCAATTATTCGGACCTTTCTGATGGAGCGTCCAAAGAACTTTCGAGTCTCGTCTTAATTGTGTCTTTACCAACTTTTAAAAAATTAGTAGCAAGTAAAAATCGCGAAATTTTAAGGAAGCGTTAAGGTTTAGGGTTTTTTTTCGAAATTCCTCACCTTTAAAGGAATAGAAGCAAATGGAAAAGCGAAGTTTTTAGACCGAAGAACGATTTTCTTTGACTTATTGGCCCTTTTCAAGCGAGTAAATTTCGCAATAAAAACAACCAAAAATCGAGGGAATTGGGTAGAATTTCTGTCTGACTGCTTGAACTCCGTCTGCTTCAGATCTGAACCCATCGGATTTTTTACAGTTACACTCTCATTGCGCTTTCATTAAAACAATTTTGGTTTTAAAGCCACTTAAACGCCTCCCAATTCATGGTGTTCCGATGTTCCATGAACGGTTGCGAATTGAGGAAAAGTGAACAGAATAATTATGGTTTAAAACGAGCCTCTTAACTGATAATACAAGAAATAACAAAATATTCATCGGTGGACACGCTGCTGTATAATATTGGACGCTGCAAATGTATGAGTATGAAACATGGGTACAACAACTCGAAACGTGTCCCGCATTTAAATTCGATGGGATTTTCTTTTTATCAACGTATTTATATGGTAATTTTCACTTTTTCCAGAAGTGTAGGTTGAGTTATTTTGAATGAAATCATGTTGACAAAAATGGGAAAAATCCCGGCCAGGGACAGCGTCAATCCAAAGTGCTTGCTGATTAAAAACGTTTCTAAATTATCTTTTGTTAGCACAAAAAAATTAAGGGCTTTTTGAACAGTGAACTACCAAAGAAACAATGAAGACAAGTGCTAAGAAACTTTGTACTCAACTATTCATATTCCGCTCTAACGTGGGAATCCAGCTGCATGGTTCCCCTACCCCTTTGCTAGTTAAAATCTAATCCCAATTACTATTTATTTAAATAAATGCCACAATAAATAGCACATTTTGCACTTCGCGTGTGCGGATCGGTCGATTTTCAGGAAATCCCCTTCGGTTTTGGCTTCCGTTATCTTTTTCGTCGCCGTTTTCGCTCCGGGTTTTCAACATTCGCCTGCCTTAATGGATTATTATTGTCAATATTCTGCCTTTTGTGTGTGCGTTTTATCGGTAAGTACAACTGGTTGATTCAATTTTTAATTTTTATTTAATAGGTGCAAAGAGTCGTTTATAAAAACTTGAATCAAATCAACGTTTCACTGATGGATTTACACCAACTTTGGAACCGGATCAATTCTGTTTGCTGCTAGCGCTTCTATTCCGGTTTGAAGCGTTGTTTAGTGCGTGTTTAAAAAAAATTAGTGTGCCCGTTTAATTTTCTACAGCTTGCCAAATAAAACAATGCAAAATGGGTGAAAGTTGCGCTAGCTTTGAGTTAAAAAAAATTTTTTTGCGCTTCTACACCACAGCATGTGCGATAAGCCTTGGATCTCGATACAAAATTTCGGATTTTTTCCTCATCTCTTCTAAGTGGTGTTTCAAAAAATCAACTTTTTGCTCTTGTAGTGACAATTTTTCCTCTCTTTCACCGATTTATGTGCCGTAGAAGGGCGCGAATTTTCGTCTTGAATCGTCTAAGGAAGCTTTAGCTTCCATATGAGCTCAAGATCCTGAAAATCGGGCCAAGAGCAAAACGTTATCGTCTGATTGTTTCAGACCACAGTGTAAACAGGAAAGATCGGCTAAAAACACAAAGTTGAAGCCCAAAAAACCATTTTTTGTCCAACTAGCAGCAAGCCGACCTTTCGGAAATTTCGCATTTTCATTTGCCACCCTGTAGAAAACTTGTCTGCCTTGCTTAATGGAAGAAAAAACATTGGCTCAGACAAAACAAATGGGGCTAAATAACGCTTCAAGTTGAGACAAAATCGCTTGACGCAATCAGAATTTATCCAGCTCCAAAGTTCACTTTATCAAACAGTTTCTTTCATGTTTTAGCTCCTGATCAGCTCAAATGCCTTGCCAAATGGAAAAGTTAATAAGAGTGTTTCCAGTCATGCTAAGGGTAAGTTTGTGACAAAAAGAAATGAAAATAATTTTTTATTTTTTGTGTGCCGATAAATCCTGCTCTGAAGTTGCAAGTTTTTCATGCTTGCGAAACTTTAGGAAGAAACAATAATTCGCTACGGCCTAAACGCCTGAAAAAGCCCGAGTTTGCACACAAAAACCCCAAACTCGCCAAAAATCGCTTTGGGGCTCGAAGGGTTCGTCACAACACATGCGTGGGAAACTGGCGAGTTTTCGGGCTTTTAGTCCATTGCGGAAAAACTTCCGGAAAAAAGTTTCAGCACGGCCTGGAAGCCCGAAAACTCACCAGTTTCCAGCCGTATCCTCCCTTTGCTAATCCACACGAAACAATGGATTTTTGACCGAAAGTTTCGATTTGTTTCCAGTGCAGTCGAACCACACCAACCAATCGGGCCATCGAGTTGTGCAAAAAAATACTTCATCTAAACCCCAGGTGAATCTCGACTACTTCCTTGCTAATGACGGGCTGGACCCGAACTACCCTCTTAGTGAAATTCAGCGATTCTTCCAGAAGCACCCGGAGCATAAGCTGTTTTTTAAGCCCAGCCTGCCCCAGATAGGTAAGTCAAGAGCCCTCTGCTTCCTTTGGTGGGTTAAACCGCTTTTTTGCCAGGAAATCGCGGAGGTTGGACGAACGAAGACAGCGAAAATCTCTGCAAGGTACGCAGAAACCCGGCTTATGCTCCGCAAGTGTTGGCCAACATTCAGGGAGCGAAAAAGACGATTATTAACCAGGATGATCTGAAACAGCATATTCCAACCGAGCGGTGCATCAACAGCAATCAGAGGTAGATTCTTCTCCAGAGGACTAGTGAAAGAAATGACTGGCTGTTGATTTCTAGCGATTATCGGTGTTCGAACATCAGGCTTGGGTATCGAAGCATTTGCAAGCAGAACTTTATGAGTGTTAAGCTGGCCACCTTCAACTCGACGGTGGGAATTGCCTACGATACATTCAAAGTGCCATCATGCTGTTCATGTGTGTTGGTGGAAGCACCGTAAAATCGCCGGGAAATTGCCGATTTTTCACCAAAACTGTGTTCCTAATTCAACGTTGGGTCTCGTCCTTTTTGCCCCAGAATATCCACGATTCTAAGCACTATTTATTTCGCTTTGTATTTATCCAGCTTATAATCATTAAGCACATTTATTAATGAACTGTGCCGTACATGTACAAAACTCGTCAAAATAAATGTTTGAATTCAGTTCGCCTTTTTGATTATCCACCCCAAAGCTAACGGGGGATTTTTGGATAAATCAAACTGTGTTAATTTGTTATCCCGATTTTTTATTATTAAACACATCAGGATCCAGCTTATGTAACTGACTGCGTATAATTCCCTCGACAATCAATATAATGGAGCTTTTTCCAATTTACCATTTGCTAATCCAGTCTGTGCATGCGACTAGTGCAGCGGCAAATGCGAAGCAATTTATAAGCTTAATCAGGAATTTTCCAGTCGGAAATAAATTGCCGAATTGTATTAGTTTAATTTGGCCCCTATTTTCCGACCCAAATTAGTTGCCAGAAATAGGGTGTTGCCTTCATGTGAAAAAACACTCGGTTAGTTGAACATTCGCAGTACAAAGTAATTGAATAATTCAAAAATCAAAGCAGCAGATATGCAAAAAGTGTTCTAGATTGAGCAGAGAAGCGAGAATTTAAACAAATTCAAAAAAGCACTAAATATTTGCTTTTAACAGCTGTAAAGTTTTGAAAATTTGTCAAAAAATCCGTGATGATGGGGAAAATTCGAAACTTTCAGGGTCCGTAGGTGTGACCCTAAGCTACAA